AAAGAAATCTAGGATTATTCTTATTCTCCTCTATTAATGAGGAGAAATATGCTGCTATTGCTTTACAAACAACACACAGAGGCTGAAATCTGATTGGACAAAAATATAGCAACCAGCTAAATGTAATGGAAGCAGCGCAGCCAAGAGAAATGCTACAAAATGAAAAGTATAGTGGAGAATTTTCATGAACTATTTAAATACACATGCACAACCCTTTACCCACTTCAGAGATGGAACGCCTATAAAACCCGTGCGACTTTCTAAAATTGCTGTTTACATATCACCAGAATGATTGACAGGTTAGGAGGACCACTTATTTTGATGATCCACCCAGAAAAAGAACTTCCTCCACTATACCTTTAATAGAACACATTGTTTGGAATAAATTAATACAGTTGGAAAGAATTTAATTAAAGGTTTAGTTTGTGAATGTATGATAGTGTTTCTGATAGATTTTGACCTTGAAGGTCCTCACAGCCCACCGCTGGTGCTCCCATCTCAGCTTTTTGTGTTTCCAGCTCATGATCCGATAACAGAACTCTGCAGAATCTGTTTATGGCATTAGCTCCTCTTGCACTTTCCTCTTTTGGTGTAAAGTTACAAGCAATGATCCAGCCTTCAGATCCCCACAGAAAGCTACTGCGTCTGTCTTTCAGACTCAGTGAGGCTGCTGACTTCTGACATTGTGGTTGAGAACATAAACCTATTATAAGAATATTGTATCAAACTAGCAGAAGAGAGAGGATCCATCATAGGCCGCTGAGCTGACGCTGCTTGTTTTCCCAGGAGCGCATCGTGCTGCAGACGGTGCGGTGGAGGATGAGGGTCGACATCGAAGTGGACCCGGACATGCCGCTGGGCTCCAGGGCCTCGCTCGTCGGTCGACCCTACCAGGAGCAGCCGCACATCCTCAACTACCAGGAGCCCATTCCTCCAAACGCGCTGGGAAGACCGAACGCCAACGATGCCCAAGTGCTGATGTGGAGGCCGAGGAGAGGGGCGCCGCTGGTGGTCATACCTCCAAAATAGCAGGGGAGGAATAACTGAACACATGAAAGGATCGGTGCTTCCTTTTCAGCAGAGAGCCGGCGAGGATCAGGCGGTCGCAGCGCCTGCAGCTTTCCTTGGAGCTCCTGATGTCTACAGGGTCGAAGTAGACTGTTCCAAAAAAAGGCCAAAGTGGATGTTACACCTGGAATCGGACACAGCAGTCAGGAACCCCCCCACCCACAGGTCACCCTAAAGGACCCTGAGCAACATGGAGGCTTCTCCCGCCCGTCCTGAACTGCATATTTAGCTCTGCCTGCATTTTAGCAAAGTACAAAACCCAATTTTTTAGATGTGCCACTGAGGTATTAGCCAACAGCAAGAACTGCAACCAGCATCCTTACATAGACCTTATTGCATGACAGTGAGGAGACAAAAAACAAAAAAGGGAAAAAAACTGTTTTTAAAAAAGTTTAAGAACAATGTTTGTTTTATATCACTTAAAATGCAGAAGATGTTTTAAATTTAAGAGTGATCGGTGCCAACAAAGGCCTTCAGCACAGCCAGTGAAGGATGTATTCAGATTTAATTCAAGGAATCTAGGTATTTTATGTCTATAGGTTTAAGAAGGAACCCGTGCATCCATCCGATTGTACTGACAGGTTATCCCAGGACACCAAACTCACGGCATATTCTTGCCTCTTTTGTGCAGCTGATGTACTGTATTATAATGAGTTTCAGAG